CTTGAAATTTAGGGTGCATAAGGCTAATTGCTTTTCTCGAAACTCCCCCCGTATCTAATATTAAGGTGCAGTAAAAACACCAAAAAAACACAAAAATCATAAAATTGAGGAAAAAACTCGAATGCGCCATGTTGATGTAAATGATTTCGCCCTTGTGTTCGGTTGCATTGGAAGTATCGGGCAGTCTACTAGGCCTAATGCACCCCAAATTTCGTGCTCTTTTGATCTGTGCAAAGCGTTTTGCAATCAACGGGCTAGATCTTACAATCGAAGCAAAATAAGTAACCCCTGCACCTTACTCGCGCATGGCTTCACGCGCTTCCTAGGCCGTTGCCGCCCCCTGGTATGCTCTAACTGGAGCATGCCTGCAAGCACGCTCTAGCTAGCGCATGCCTGCCAAGCATGCACTAACTAGTGCATACATGCCATGTACACGCTTCCTGATGCAGAAAACTCCCTATCCCTTATGCAGTAAATGTATGCTTCAGTTAGCGTGTACCTGGCATGTATGCACTAGTTAGTGCATGCTTGGCAGGCATGCGCTAGCTAGAGCGTGCTTGCAGGCATGCTCCAGTTAGAGCGTACCATGTACACTCTTTGATTTGTAGAGAAGCCGTTTTGAATGCCAAAATTTGGCAAGCTTTGGTCGGAAATCTTCATAAGCTTGCCAGATTTTGGCAAGCTGGGTGGTATTTCTAGGCCAAGCTTGCCAATTTTTGGCATTCAAAACGGCTTGCCAAATCTGTGGCAAGCAAACTTACCACCGGCTTTGCAGTGTTGCTAGTGTGAGACACGGTTTGCCTTACACTGCAAGCGTGGGTCCTGTGGCATTGAACCACTGTAAACCTCAGGGAACACTAGGCAGCAAGGGTGGGTCAAACCGTGTCTCACACTTGGATGAGCAGTGAGGAATTTGTTTGTGCCATCATTTTCAGTTCCAACGGTTGTTATGTCCGTCGGGCACACCGTGTCTTTTCGCCTTCACTATCAAGCCGTGTACAGCGGGGTGATGTTCCTTCTCTGCAACGAGGACACTGTCTGCAGCAAAATCGAGGCGTTTGGGTCCGCGCCTGACGGGGCACTGTACTACATTGCTTGGGAAAACTGTGACCAGCACGGCCTCAGGTGCCGCAAGCACCACACGGTAGGTACTCGCTTGAGTCCTGGCCCTTTTCCTTCATGAGTGTAACGTAGAATCAACGTAGATTCCATTTTTAATTTTCAATTCAGAAACCCGTTTGCGTTCTTGCGTTACAGTTTTTGTTACGATAATTGTGCTCAACTGCGTAAGACATCTAAAAGTGTGTGCTTGCAGGTACATGCTTACAGTACAGCAAGCTTGAATAATTGGTTCCAATTTTCTGACAAGTGCCTGGCTAGTTCACACGGACCATTGCATGCTTGGCAAGTGCCAAGTTTACAGAGCACACACTCTCAGAGCCATACTGACATTTTTGTCTGTACTTTTATTTAAAAATTATTTCTATGTAATTTATGAACAATTTTTTAGGTATCTCACTGATAAAAATCTATGTGTAACATATTGACATTTTGTATGTTAGCCTTACTAACAAATCTGTCACTAGTTATTTAAAAGAAGTATGGAGGCCTTCTGGGACTAATTTGTTAGTGCCAACTAAGAGATTTTGTCAATAGTAAGAAAGAAACGGAGTCAGTAGTAACTAATAAATAAAGTCAGTACATACAAATAAAATTCTATGTACATGATCAATATTTGTCGCAGACATTACATATATTTTTATGGACTTGCAATACTTGTCGCTGACTAACAAGTGGTCCAACAAGCTATCCGTACCAAAATAAATGTTGTCGCTGAAAAAATTAGCATTAAAAGTGTCGTTTAGTAACGACAAAAGTTTTGTCAGTGGTTATTCTGGTAAATTTTTATCAACAAATTTATCAACAATTTTATCTACAAATTTGTTAGTAATGTAAGGGAAAGTGGGGTAATTCCGGACACGGGGTAATTCCGGACACTTCGATTTTCACTGGGTTTGAGTGAAGATAACTCAAAAGCCCGCCTAACAGAGGAAGATAATCAGTTTAAAAGGAGAATTCCAAATCGCCAAAGTAGGAGGTCAAACCGTTTGCCTGTGGTCGCTTCACGAAATTTGAGTACCATCAAAAATAGGCAAAAGCTGCATCTTTCCCTCGTATTTCCATGTACTTATCGTACCTTACCGTCAAGTTCAGTCCCATGACTAAAATTTTATCATATTATATGGTCATTGGACTTTACTTTGGCGTTTCGGGAGTGCTTGTATGGCTCGCCGTTTTCTTACAGTTGAACATCAAAGGTTTTCACTACCTGTGGGGTAAATCCGGACAATAAGGGTTATTTTCTTCAATTTCCCGCATAATGTTGAGGTAGTGGGTTCAAAATTGTGGACATGCATCCCCACCGTTAAGAAGGATAAAGAAAGAACGAAAAATAGCATTGCAGCTATGTTTAAGAGCTTAACTCAAGACAATGTTGTCAATTTAGGGGTTTTGATAGAAATTATTCCTTATAATATGCTTTAAGTAATAATCAAACACTTCAGTTCGCAGCAAATGTCCTTGAACTCCTTCCAAAAGCATGCCTCACATCAAAACGAGCGAAAGTAAGCTCGAGTAGTGTCAAATTTTAAGGTCGTCCGGCATTGCCCCATAGGTCGTCCGGAATTACCCCAGCCTGGGGCAATTCCGGACACGTGCAGGGTTTTTCTTAGGCGCCTATATCTCCCTAACAGTTGCTGAGATTTGGCTTTCATGTATACCATTTTGAAGGTAAAGGTCCATACTTTACTCTCCTGTCATAACATTTAACCCAAGAAGCATATTCAAGCTCAAAGACCAAAAAGAAAAAAAGCGTCCGGAATTACCCCACTCTCCCTTACTAACAATATTGTCTATGGAATTGTACATATACCATGGACTTTTTATTCGTGGCATATGAACAAATTTCTAAGTATTATTGTTGCGTAAAAAAATTCATATGCTACTTAGGAAATGTTGCTGCTGCTATGAACAAAAAGTCAATATGGCTCTGAGAGTGCATGGGTAGCATGCAGTTAGGGGGGCAAGCATGCACTTGTGTGCAGGTAATCACAAGCCTAGACACTGAAAATCAAATAGTGATACATCTCACTCTCTGACGGGTGAGACGTAACTGTATCACCGCAAAAAGAAAGATACTAAAATGTATCACCGAAAAAATGTTCGTACACGCATGTATCACCGAAAAAAAGTTCGTACACAAATGTATCACCGGAAAAAAGGTCGTACACAAATGTATCACCGAAAAAGAGGTGAGACATCAGCGAGATTGGCCCTTGTTTTTCTAGAGAAGTATCACCCTTTTATCACCTTTTTTCCAGTGATACCTCGTGTACGACCATTTTTTCGGTGATACATTCGTGTACGACCTTTTTTTCGGTGATACATTTCGTATCGCCGAAAATTGGTGAGATGTCTCACCCTTTGAATTACAGTGGAGCTTGAGATCAAGCCTCGAGGTACTCGCAAGTGGCATACAGGACATGAGCCCCGTCCCGTTTGAGCCCCGATGGTCTGAGCCCCGACCTGAGCCCCAACCTGAGCCCGGGTTGAGCCCCGACTTGAGCCCCGACCCAAGCCCCAATTTTCAGAGCCCGGATTGAGCCCCGACCTGAGCCCCGTTTGAGCCCCGTTTGAGCCCCATTTGAGCCCCACTTAAGCCCCACTTGAGCCCCATAGCAATAAATTATGCAAAAATGCGTGATTTCAGGTCGCGGGGCTCAAAGGGGGCCAAGGGGGGCTCAAATGGGGCTCAAACGGGCTCAGGTCGGGGCTCAATCCGGGCTCTGAAAATTGGGGCTTGGGTCGGGGCTCAAGTAGGGGTGTGCGAATCGGAATTTTGTCTTCGAATCGAATCGAATCGAATCTCTCTCAAAATGTCCCGAATCGAATCAAATCGATCCCGCAATTTTTCCCCGAATCGAATCGAATCCGACATCTGCACGAAATTTTCGAATCGAATCCGAATATTCCCAAAATTTTTAAATGCTTTTCTAAAATGTGGCGTAATGCCTACTGGGGATGGTTTTTTGTCAGTTTAGTAAAGGGGGGGGAGAGGGGAGGGGAAAGGGGGAATGCCAAAACGCGGGCTAGGTACAAGAAAGTTAGCGACCCTTATGAGAAACTCCACAGGGCGCGCAAATCCAAATGACAGGCAAGGACGATTGATTCGAAGACGAAACGTGTTGATTTCGAATTTTTTTGAACCTTTCGGTATCGAATCGGCCAGTCCGTGAGCGAATCGAATCGAACTAACAGATTCATTTGATTCGATTCGATTTCGAACAAATTTGCACACCCCCAGGCTCAAGTCGGGGCTCAACCGGGCTCAGGGTTTGGGGGTCAGGTCGGGGCCCCAGACCTCGGGGTCAACGGGACGGGGCTTTATGTCCTGTATGCCTCGCAAGTGGTTTTACTTGCAAAAGCAACACTCTGAAACCTTTTCAATGAAATTTTGAGCAATGTTTCAGTGAATGAGGCGCAAGCTTAGTCCTAAGCCACATTTCTTAAAAAAACGAACCCTTTTTTTTTTTCATTGTAAGATACGAGGAACAACCTTCGTACGAAGAAAAACTGCCTTCGTATTATGCTAGCGCCATTTCCTTCGCCATGTGAATTTATTCGTAAGACTTCCATTGGATGCACTGATGAAAGTCATGATCAGGACTAAAATTTTTGTTGAGGAATTCTTTTCCCCAAATTTTGACAAAAGGGTACTTCCTCGCCCAAAGTCGGGGGGATAAAACCTCGTCCCAAAAATTTGGGGTTTTTTCTGGGGCAGGGTACGCCATCGAGTCTTCAACCTTTTCATCGGGGGTCATCGAAGCGGTAGTGGAGCGGCGCGACACCAAGCTCCAGCTCTGGCTGTCCCTGCCACCAGGACAAAGTGGCCTACGTCCGCGCGAGAAACGAAAACGCGATGGCTTCGGGGTTTCGCCTATAGCGTGGTACACTGACATGCGAGTCGACTTCAGTGGTGAGAATTGAGTTGAAAGGACGTTGTTAGGAAGAAAGTGCACGCAGAAAGAATCACTACAAGGTCCATTGTTAAGTTTCTTCCTTGCCTCCCCAAAGCCATTCCGTTTAGAACGCCAATATTTGGCCTTCTGGCCCTGGACTGACCTCAGAATCCCAAAATTCCGGCGGCCTGGGACGCCAGACTTCGTCTTTCTCATCTAAGAGGGAGGTCCAGGGCTAGGAGCGAGCTAGGAGGCCAAATTTTGGCATTCAAAACGGAGCGTTACTGTAGTCACAAGAAAACTTTCCAATGGATTTACGGTCACTGAAAATAGAAAGGTGAGACTTTTGACCCCTTTAACGGTCTTACTGAAATGTACTGCCGAAAAAGGGTACACTCACTGGTAAAACAAAGGCATAAAAATTACGCCCTTTAGGGCTTAAATACTCTTTTACGCCCTTCCCGCCCTTGGAAAGGGCGTAAATGGTATGGGAATTTCAAGCAAAATTTTAATGCCCTTCCCAAAGGCATTAACGATTTATGCCTTTGTTTCACCAGTCCTGAAATGTAAGACCGAAAAAAGGTCATACTTCGATGTATGGCCGAAAAACGGTCATACTTTATAGTGTATCACAGGTAAAGGCTGATATATCCCCAAGCTAAACAATAGCCAGTCTCGCTAATGTCTGACCTTTTTTTGGTCATACATTTAAGTATGACCCTTTTTCGGTCATACATTTGTGTACGACCGTTCTTCGGTCATACTTGATCCACGAAGCGGAAGAAGGGGTTAAGTCGAGTTGATTCAGTGACCTCTTATCAGTCTATCAAGTAAACGTGAGCGAAAATTTGGTCCAAAAATAAGTGTGGTGAGACAAGTCCCATCCTCTGCATGTATTTTTAGATGACATTCCCCCCTGTTCTCCCACCTGCAAGGTTCAGGCCTTTTAAAAGTGCACGGATTCAACTCGACTTAACCCCTTCTTCCGCTTCGTGGATCACTTTTTGTATCACCGAAAATGGGTCAGATGTCTCACCCTTCGAATTTTAGTGGTGATGCGTCAAGTCGCTTCATCGCTCAACCTATACCTGTCGTGTTTTCAGTGCCATCGTCGTTGCCGACAGCCACCGCATCACCTGAATGTGCCACATTAACCACCATCCAAGGTGAGCTTACTCTGCATTCTGCATCGGTCCACTCGGTACAGCCCACTCACAGAATGTTCACGGACCATTTTCTTTGGGCAACTGGAACATTCCCAATTCGGGTAAAAAATTGTTATAAGCCATTAAAAAATTTTGCAAGTCCCTTAAAAATTTGAAACCAACCAAAGATCGAAGTTCCCTTAAAACGCATGTTGGCCCAAATTTAAACCCTTCCAACATTTCAAACCCTTACAAACGCATTTTTTGACCCCTATAAAGCGTGGTTGTTTTGAATGTTATTTAAGGGCCCCCCTTTGAAAAGGGATTTGGCCGCATTTTTGAATGTTTTTAAAAGAAAAATTTAAAAGGGTCCATAGACATTTTTCATGGGGGAAAAAGTTACGGAAAATTTTTTAAAAGTTGGTTAATTTGAAACCCCCCAAATTTTCCGTAGCCCCCTTACAGTTTTTCGTAGGCCGAAAGTTTTTCCCTAACATTTCACATAACTTAAAGGAAACATTTTCCGGTTAGGGAGAAACGGGGGTTACAAAGAACTTTTAAGGGACCTTTTCGGAAATTTGGGTGGGGCACGGAAACCGGGCAAAAAAATTAAAAATCCTAGACATTTTGTGAGCAGCAGCACATGACTGTTTGTCATCACCTTCGGTTGACAGGCCCAGGCTTCGGCTGCCGACGTGACAACCAGTGGCAGTGCCGAGACGGCAGATGCATCGATGCCAGGCGCAGGTGCGACCTCAACAGAGATTGCAACGATGCGAGTGACGAAGACAGTGACACCTGCACTAGTGGTGGGTGCGCTGTTGTTGCTGGGCCCTTAAATCTTTAACTTTATCTGAAACTTTAATTTTTCTTAGCGAAGCTATACAATCAGCCTCCAGCCGCACCAGCCCCGAAACTCGAGATGAGGGGTCCGCACAAGGATCCAACCTCACAGTGTAGTTCTGAACGAACAAAATGACGCCGTAAATGTAAAATTTGTAAAAAGGGAATCTATGCTTCTGAAACAATGTTACACACTAAATGTCATGGGACTTTTTTTGTCCCACGAATGATGCAATTTTAAGCACATCCGGTGGTGATGCAATTTTGTGTCCGCCTGGCGGGACAAATTGTCTAGTGAAAGTACAAGTTGCAGTTGGCGCTGGACAAAATGTGTCACCAGACGGGAACAAAATTGTATCAGCGTCGGATGTGCTTAAAATTGCGTAAACCGTGGGACAAAAAAAGTCCTATGACATTTAGAGTGTAAGGCCACCATTTCGAGAACTGGCCGATTTGCGCTCGTAATATTGTCTGAACCAGGTGGTCCAGAAACCCCGCTACAAAATGATTGCAGGCTACACGCCTACAGCCGCGCATGCGGGCTTGCCTACGCTCCGGTCTGCGGGCGCCGGGACGCTTTAGAGCGGCCACTCGTCCATGAAGCACTGTCCGCCGCGAGGCTATCTGCCCTGCGCTGCCCGCCGCGGACAGCGCATAGACAGTCCAATGTTGGACTGTACATTTTCCGTACAAAAGTACAATTTTAAGCACATCCGGTGGTGATGCAATTTTGTGTCCGCCTGGCGGGACAAATTGTCTAGTGAAAGTACAATTTGCAGCAGGCGTCGGACGAAATGTGTCGCCAGGCCGGAACAAAATTGTAACAGCGTCGGATGTGCGTAAAATTGCATAAATCGTGGCACCAAAAAAAGTCCCATGACATTTAGTGTGTACGGAATTGTTTACACTGCTTGCTGTTATTGATTTGTCCTGTTCATCCGCAGTGCCTACTTTGATCATGAACGTCGGGGACACGGTGCTGGCTCGGATGAAGCATAAGGAAAATTACCACGGCGTGCGCTTCCTCATGTGCTCCAACGACTCCTGCAGCTGCCTGACCGTTTCCGGGGAGGGCTCCAGTGGGCTGTTGGCCCTCGTTGCTAAGGCAGAGTGTAATTCTAAAGGTGCCGACTGTCTGCATACTGTTCACGCGGTTAGTGCTCTTACGAATCCTTCGGGGCTCAATCGAAAGAGGTCGACTTCGATCGGAATCGATATTGGAGTGACACACGGACCGCATACTTCGCTCAAGAAGACCAGTTGGGGCATCCGTCGACTCAGCGTCCAAGGTCGATAAACAAAGAAACTGTGCCGTTTTCAAAATAGGAGCCGCTAATTTTGAACGGCAGTGTAGTTTGGCATGGAGCTATAAGGCACCAAGCGTTCACTTGTACACGCTTGTACACGCACGGTCAATTGTACACGCACGTTATTGACTTTTTGCTCATTTTGTCAGTACTTATGCAAGTAATTTGTGCAACCATAATACGTACTTTTCCTTTTTTAAAGAACTACTTAGGAAATATTAAATAATGTACAGAGAATTTTGTTTTGTACACAATTTTACAGAGGAAATTAGTTATACCTACTTAGAAATACTAGTATTATTGATGTTTATACGAATACGTAATTAATGAGGAAAAAGTCAGTAACGTGCTTAGAGTGTAAATGTTAGTGGACAGTTGGGTTTGTAGCCTGATTGAGAATAGGTATGCACAAATAAAACCATCAGCAAGTTGGATGCCCTGCACATTGCATTCGTCATTCTGTTCCAGGAGTTCTCTCAAAACGAGGATTTTCCTACCGCCATATTGGTCTTCAAACTTCGCAGGACAGAATCTATGCTACTTCTTCGCATACAAGGATACAAGGCTTCCTACGTCCCAATCGATCGGGACTACAATGTCCTGAGCATTCGACCAGACTATTGGCTGAGCGACATGCCTGTGGAATTCAAAGCCGGTGAGTTCGGTCGTTCACACTCTCAGTCTCGTATTGACTTTTTATCTCTTGCTACAAACATTTTTTTGTGCCAAAAAGGTACTATTTTCTCTTTAGCTATGCACTATTTTGTTCGTTGTGTATTGTATTTAGTCCATTAAACCTGACTTATTGTCATTTACTATGCACTTTTCAATTTCTACATAATCTGTAGACAATTTTATCCTTGTGCGTAGTTGAGGAGGCAATCGTACATTTTACGTTTGCTCAAAAAACGTTTAAAGCAAGAGAGGAAAAAGTCCATATAGGTCTGAGAGCGCAGGGCCAATGGGGCACCTACACACTAAATGTCATGGGACATTTTTTTGTCCCACGATTTATGCAATTTTAACCACATCCGACGCTGCTACAATTTTGTTCCCGTCTGGCGACACATTTTGTCCGACGCCCGCTGCAAATCGTACTTTTACTAGACAATTTGTCCCGCCCGGCGGACACATGATTGCATCACCACCGAATGTGCTTAAAATTGCATCATTCATGGGACAAAAAAAGTCCCATGACATTTAGTGTGTATTCTCGGTAACCCGTGCCTTTACTGCACACTAATGTTTTTGTACAAATTTTGTACGAGACATCACAGTTTTTTTTTGTACACAAGAAATTTTGGTACAAATTTGTTCTTGATTTTGCTCAAAAATGGGGGGCAAATGTGCAGATTTTCGTACATAATTTGTGCGTGAAGTTCGTGTGCAGGGAAAAAATGTGATGTCTCGTAAAAAAATTGTACTGAACATTTAGTGTGTGCCCGTGCACTGGTCAGACCGAGTGTGGAGTTTCTGTCTCCACATTTGGTCGTGTTGTGTTTGCAGTCTCCTCACGTCAAGTGTTGCTGCAATGGTAAAACCAAAGCGTAACTCTATGGTTGAGTCAAGCATAAAGTTGCTTGAGGGCGTTACGCGGCGTTACGCTTGAAATGAAGCGTAGACCAGAAATTCTCCTCTGCTTATTTTGACGGATGAGGCTGTTGCGCTCGCTTTCAAGCATAAACTGAGTACGCTGGAAAAACAGAGGGTAATGTGCGTGCAAGTTTTATTACTGAAACGGGGAGAGCTTCTCACTTGAAGTGGAGACTCCGACCTCAGCTACGTGCCCCGAAGAAATCTGGTCTCTGATCTCAGGAATTCATTTGGCTTACCCTATTCACTAACATATTCGCTACGATTCTTCGCAGGATAGAGTCGGTCCGCAATGATGATCAAGGCTGATATTTGAAAACCAGGTGGTTGACTTCTTGAGGGCCCCAAATTTGGAGTGTCGTTCTGGGCCGCTCCCTCGTGACTCCTGCCACTTTTTCGAGAACATTCGGCCGTAAAGGGCCCTCTTCCAGCAGATCACCCTTTCGAAAGGGTTTGGCATGTACGTCAGGGGGGAAAATAAACGAGAGACCAAAATTTTCAATCCATTACTTTATCACAAATGGCACACCCGTAATAAAACATTGTAATTACCAGTAATTTAAAAAAAAAATAAAAACTTCTTTTTAAAAAAAAATTTTTCTATTTAATCATAATGTGGGGGACCAAAAAAAATGTAAAAAAAAAACTGCCCTTTCTTGAGAGAGCGAAAATTTGTCAACTTCAAAATAACCAAAAAAAAGCGCCAGTAATAAAAAAAGGGCGGTGTGAGATACACTCACTTGTCTTAATTTAAAATAAACTAACCATGATAAAAATGCATTGAAATTTTAAAAGGGAATTAAAAAATTTAAAGGCCCCATTCCTGTTAAGCCCTAAACAAAATAAAAAAAACCCTTTAAAGGAAAAATGAAAATTTATCGTGAAAAACGAAAACCAGACAAAAACGATGGGTGTGGGGGTTGCTAAGCCCAAAATAAAAAAATTGGGAAAAGGGCGCTAGGAACCCCCAAAGGAAAAAAATTTGAAAAGGAAAAAAGCCCAAAAAAGAATGGGAAAATAGGTTCATTTTTAAATTTAAAAAAATTTTACAAAAAGGAAAAAACAACTTTGAGCCCCGGAAAACTTCCCGGGTCCGGTTGGCCAACCCAAATTGGTCCAGGAAGGGGGGCCCCAACAGCCTATCGGGGGTGCCGCTTAGCCTTTCCCCCGGACATCCTGAGTGGGGAGCTCTCGCCAAATGAAAAAAAAGGCTACAGCCTTTTTTCATAAATTTATATTGAAAAAAAGGCCTTCCAAAAAAAGGGCAAACAAAATTGCCAAAAAATTTTTGAATTTGGGGGCCCTTGGCTAAATCGAAAAACAAGGGGAAAAACCCTTTTTAACCGTGGTTTTTAATTAAAATTTGAAATTTTTTTGATTTTTTG